AATGACACAGCTAAAAAACAGCCAAACTCTTGAGCTTAGTGGCAAAAGCTGGGTATGTGTTACAAGGAGGAATTGTCTCTACCACTAACTCAAGGGGAAGAAGTGTGGGAGAATTACAGTGCAGAGCCTGAGGAAGGCAGAGAGGAAGAGATTGGAGCAGACTCATTGATTCTGGCCTGACTCAGCTCTTATGGAGATGATGAAGCTGTTGGCCCATGGCCTGGGGAATTCACTTCCAAGACAACCAGACCACAAGAAAGGCAAGCCTTTCAACCAATCTAACCTGCTTTGCCAAAGGATATCACTGATGATGGTYGCTCCTCCTTTGAAGCTGCAGTTGTTTTTTAAGGGAACTTGACCTTTGTGTGTTCTTTTCTCTTCAGCACAGGAGATCCACTGCATGGATCAGGATTATCAAAATGATGTGCCATTGTAGGACATACTGATGGCACTCCATCTGGAACGCTGCAGAGATGAATTACACTCAGTGTAGAGCAGGACTGGAACAGAGGTTTTATCAGAAAAAGAGAGACACAGTTTGGCACATCTAGTCACACTCAGCTGAAGGCAAGAGAGCTTATGATTACCCTTGTGATGGTTGCACAGACAGCAAACCCTACTGAGGGTGAGCAGCAGCTTGATCTGTACTGGTACAAACCAGACTGCACTGGCTGTGAATACATTTAGGCTGAGAGTTAAAAGAAAGCTCCTAAYGAWCTGTGTGGGTCTGAAATAATCTGCYTGCCTCRGGAGCASGGGCAAAGTGTCTACCTACCTTTGAAACACCTCTTGGTTAATTTGGGGGAAAGGACCAGGGACAGTAGCAGATGGATTCGGTGGTTGATGACATTCCTCCCAGCTGCATGTCCTCACCCTCTTAAAATGGGATCCCAGGAATTCAACATTGATGTTACTTTCCTTAACAATTTTTACCATGGATTTTTAAAAATTTCCTCTGAGCTGTATTTTTGCTTTGGCACATTGCTAGCTTGGAACTGGGCTTTCTTAAGGTCTCCTGTATTAACCCAACTTCTTCCCTGGAAAGCATTAGCTTGCCTCCTGGAGCTGCAGTGCATGCAGCCTTGCCCTTCAGGCCCCCCAACTGTGTTGGTGACAATACTGGCACCAGAAGGGGCTATGGCTGCCCTTTGCTGCTGGGCTGTGCTGCAGAAGCAGATGGGTGTAGGGCTGCCTGCAGTTGTGGCAGAAGAGCTTTGAGTTGCCAATAACAAATGGTGCCCATCTCCTCCAAGGCAACAGGAAAAAAGTGCTGGGCCAGATGCAACAGAGCCATGGCTTGGGATCAGGCTCTGGACCATCCTGCATGTGAAGTGGTGCCCTCCCAGACTGAAGCAGGCTCAGTTCATGCTTCTCTGAGCTGTTGGACTGTGTTGCTGCCTGATTCCAAGGGTGACTTMTCTAAGAACAGAAATAAAAAGATACTAAGATTTTTAGTCTAGAAATCTTCAAGTGGCACAAGCCACGGCTTGAGCAGCTGGCAATTACCACCACCCAGGGGAGCCTGAGAAGATGCCATTCTTTTTTCTAATTACTACAAAGCCTTTCAATCTGATTAATTCTTTCCTTAATGCATTTCCTTGTAATTTGTATTTCTGAAGATGCTAATGGTAAATAGAGAATCTTTCCTGTTAAAAACACATTCTGCATTCTCCACAGCCTTGGTCACTAGTGGCATCTGTGCATTCTTCATCACCCATCCAGGAGATGATTTCAAAGCCAGGTGCTGATCCTGTCCTTTCTTTCAGTTCAGAGATGTAGCTCGGAGCAGAACTGACAAGTAATATGATGGAAGTGTTGTCCATTTCTTTGTGCTGCAATGGCTTGAGTCAGAACAAGCTAAAACATATTTGCTACCTGGAGCTGTTTAATTTCCATTGAAATGGTGCCCATTACTCCAGCCAGARAAGTGAAATCCCAGAGAGATCAGGGGCATCACACACCTCCTATAGCAATGACACAGGTTGGCTTGATAGGGTGCATGGGATCTCTCACCATGATTTGAGCACTGCAGGCTGTGTCACTATCTCATGTGACATTGCAAGGGCCTCAGATGAATGTTGGGGTTAAGGTGTAATAAAAATATGTTTCTCCTCAAAACCAGAACCCCTAGCATTGGTAAGCAGAAGAATATTTAGTGTGAAGGCAGAATTATGCTGTTATACATCCCAGCATTGCTCAGAGAGGCCAGGCTGCTCCCACTGGGAACAGAGTTTGCAAGGTGCTCTAACTTCATTTCTGGGCAGCACTTCAAACCAAAGATGGACTATAAGTGAGGGGGAGTAGATGGTCTGTAATGGCCTCTGTGTACACCTGGCTCCCATGAACTATAAAAGAAATGATGTGCACTCAGAAATGACCATTTCCACCAAAGCCAAAAGGGTGGCATTAGAAAACTTGGTCAGAGAAAATATCTTTTTTTTGTTTTGATTTTTTTTTTTCTGGAGGAGAGAGGGCAGGACCCTAATGGAGCAGGGCAGTGGCTATTCCCATAAGTTCCCTCCTTCCCAGAACCCTGCCTGCACTTTGCTTGTTGGTGCTCTCCCGATCGAAGGCTGTTGGGAATTACTGCAAGACCATCAGAAATAATAAATCCATATTCTGGCTCTTGGAGTGGCTCCCAGAGTTTAGAGACTTTTYACCCAAATCTTGCTATTTATTAGAAAGCTCTTTCATGGTCTCTTCTCTCCTTTTTGGTGACAGAATACAGCATTAAATTAATCGAGGTCATTTTTCTGAGCTCTATGATAACTAACGAGACGCTGATTTTAAGAGCAACATCCTGGATTGGTGTTTGTGCTTCAGAGAGACATTGCCCTCTAGTGACTTGAAGGCAGGCCGTGTAAAAGGACTAAAATATGAGTTTGGCAGAGTTTTATATGGCAGAGCAACACATTCAATTGCAATTTCTGACAGAAGGAGTGATACTGATTGTGGTGAGGACTGCGAATGCAGCAAATACTCATGAAAGCAATGARAAAGAGAAGGAGAGCAAATGGTCATCACATTTCTTCCAGATGTTCTGAACAAAGACAGATCTTCTGTTAAACCTATTTCAATAAAGTCTATTTGTGCAGATGCTTCCTTTTTAGAATGAAAAATTTTAMATATGAAACATAAAACTTGTTCAGTAGCTGAAACACAATATGATATCTTTTTTTTGGTGGAAAATCTTGGGATGACGCCATGATTGTGCAATCAGGCTTGGTGTATAAGTGAAAAGCTATTTGCAGAAAGTTTACTGTGGTATGAAATGCAATGAATACATTTGGCAAGTTTGGTTTTTTTAATATGAGACCTCCTGTACAACTCTCCTTCAACAAAAAACTGCCTCACAAGAAAGCCTCACACACCCAAGCAGACCTGCACGAGATGATATAAGATAGTATCTCAAAGATGTCTCTGAGATGGAATTAATTCTTCCATTCCACTTCTTCCATGAACACATTAGTCCTTTCTTCAAAATTTTTACCCTTTGCTAGCTGCATCACATCCAGCTGTTTTGGAGAAAAAAGCTGCAGGATTGTTCCTGTGTCTGCGTGGTCAGTGGAAATGCACCTTCCATGTTTCAGTGGTGACAAGGACATTTTCTGCAGCACTGTATGATAGCTGATGCATTTGTTTYGAGTTAACAAGAAGAAAATAGAGCAAAAACCTGATCAGACTTGGCTGAAAGCAGGGGTTCATCATTCTRTGSTTATTTCCTGGCTTTGCTGAGTMATTCCTGGCTGTAAGAGGCTGCCACTCTGGCAGAGCAGAACATTCTGCATGCATGGGTGCATGCCCATGATTTTGCTTCACAGCACCTGAGGACTCTGATACAGAGCTGCACCAAGTTAAGGTATCACCACTGAAACATCTTCYTCATCCAGTTACAAAGGGAGATAAATTCTTTAACAGCCACAACTAAATCCCAAAAGGATCATACATCAGAGCAGTGAAATATCAAATCTGGGATTAATAGCTMKGAGYGTTTCTCACTGTCCTTCCAAACTGKTTTTGCCCTTCTCTAACTTCAGAAGGCAGCCCTTCAACCACAAGACAGAACCAAGATGGAAGAGAAGACATTACTTCATTGCCACAGCAGCCTGGCAGATCAGCATCTCCTTGCTCTTTACCAAAACAGCTCACAGGAAACAGGAAAGCCACACTTTTAACAGGAGGTGTCATCATGAAACTGGCACTTGTGCCACATTTAGGAAGCATGGAAAACAAAGGTTCAGCAACAAAGTTAACTGTTCAAAACAGTGCCACACAATGTGATTACCCCGTGAAAAAGTGATGTGGAGAGTATTCCCAGGACCTGAGCAAAGAGGATGCTGGTTTACATGGAAGGATTAGASCTACACAAGGTGGGATCTGATGCAGGAGACCAGTACAAGGAACACACAGCTGGGATCCTGCCTGACCCATATCTACTCTGCTCAAAAACTGTGGAAGAAAGCCTGCTGTTATACCTGGGCGAAGGAAAGGATAGAATAGACYAGAACAGAACAGACTATCTGAGTTGGAAGGCCCTACACAGTTCTCCTAGTCCAACTGCCCTTCTGAGCCGACCAAAAGTTAAAACACAGTGTACAAATGCCTCTTAAACATGCTTGGAGCATCGACTACAGTTCTAGGAAGCTTTGAGCCGTTTCCATGTGTTCYATCACTGGATCTCAGGGAGAAGGGATCAGGCATCTCCCTCTCTCTCTCCTTGGGGTGCTGTGAAGGACCATGAGATCCCTGCTCAGCTTCCAACTCTCTCAACTTCACTAGCCCAAAATCACGCTAGACTCCTTGCAGGATGTTCCTGTCCCTGTGGAGTGGTGAGGTCCAGCAGTGCTCACAGCAGGGAATGATCCAGAGGCAGAGGATGCKCTGCAAACCCAAGGTTTTACCGCACTCTGCCACCAAGGGGAGATGCCGCGCCACCGATGCTTCTCGTGGGAGAGCATCCCACAAATAAAATAAAAAAAAAAACCCTGCTTTGGTTTCGTTTCTGTGATTTAATAATATTAAAATCAGCATTCATTATATTCATTCTAAAGCTTTGTGTTTTTTTTTTTAATACTAAAATTAATTTCCTTTTTAAACATCCACAAAATTAAAAGTACCACGGGTCTTGGAGCTAAGAGCCTTTGAAAAATATTCACCCAAAAATATGTGGGTGCTAACAACTGGGGGAAGACCTGCTCCTCCTCCAGCCTGCTGGATGGAGCCAGGGGCAGGAGTGAAATCTGCCCTGCCAAAACCCCCTGATGGTATGGTACTAACACAACTGGCAAAAGTGAGCATGAAAAAAACATTTAAAGCTATTGGAAGAAAAACCTAAGTGGAGGAGAGAAAAACAAATAGGAGGCAAAACCCACTGTTCCTCTTCTTGCTTYCACTGAGCTCTTCAACACTAGAAGCATGGTTATATTCCTAMTGGATCCTGCTGGAGCAGCATCTCATTGAATTGGAGATTCATCTGAGAAAGCTTCAAGCTTCAGAACACCTCAGAAATGTTCCTCTGCCCTTCTGTAGGACTGGCCTGTGAGGAAATCAGGCAATTAAATCCACTGTCCTTGTGAGAAAAGTGATTGCAGCAACAATACTGTTACAGAGGCAGCAGAGACCCCTCTGCACTGCCTTTCAGCTTAGGTGCCACAAGACTACAGACAGAGAACAAGGCATTGCCTGCTCTGACTGACACACAAAGTTGGGTTTCACTGGCTGTAGCTTCCAGGCAAGCTGTCACTGTTGAAAGCAAATTAGATCAGCTGGGCATCAAGTGATACCTCCCATCAGTTTTCACCGCCCACTGCTGCCAGCTCCACACTTCTCTTTCATGCTGCATGTGCCAACTGTCTCACAAAGACAGCTGCAACATCTACTGGAAGGACACAGAGAGCAGCCAGAGGTGGGGACAGGAGGTGGGAGTGGACTCAAGGCTGGGGTGAGACCTTTGCCTGCCTTAATCCAGGCAGAAAACAGGGTTCTCCAAGAAAACTGCGAGCTTGCTGGCCACCAGGTCCAGGTCACTGGTGTTGGCATATTTGAGCAGATTGGTGTTCTTGAGAAAGTAATGCTTGAGGAAGTGCTGGCTGACACACTTGTGCAGCTTCTGTACCAGCCTCAGAAAGGCTTCAGGGAAGCAGCGCCAATCCTTGGTGCGTGGGTATTTTTCACACGTCCAGAATAGCACTGTCTGCAAGAAGCAGATGGGAGAGAAGATGTGTTAGAGGTTCTGTCGAGGGCTCACACAGCTTACTAAGGCAGTTTTAGTGCTGGTGAATGGCTGACAGCCTTGGAAATCACAGAGACTCGCTCCTACCTCCCTGTGTTAACRTTTCTGCAGTGGAGAGATCCCAGCTGAAATCTCTGAGGACCAGGCAGAGCAGCTCRGAAGTGCCTGGTTGGGATCTCTCCTCAGAGGAGCCACTCTCCACTGGCTGAGCCAGGAGCCCAAAGAAAATAATCTTGCTGAAATAATCTCAGTTTATTTGCCACCCTCCAGCAGGAGCTTCTGTGGAAATGCCAGGTACTTTAGGCTGAAATTTGAGGCAGAAAATGGTCTATTATKCAAGTGTGGATACCAGTAGGTGCAAGGAGGGACAGAGCATAATGAGATTAATGTAATTATTTGTTAGCTTCAGCTGTATTTGTGCTGAAGACATAGAGATCTGCATCCTAAACAGACTGAGATTCCAAGAAGCTATTGCACGTCCAAGCCTTGCTTTCTGGTCAAGTGTTGCCTGTTTTTTTTCTGATATGTGATACTTATTGCACATCTTATTCTCCATTTCTCCAAGATTATTTTATGCAATTTAATGTTTGAGAAATATATAGTTATTATTATTGCTCTTATAGTATTATTTTTACACTGCCCATGTTGCTTTTTCTCAGACTTTCCCACAACTGAGAAGAATTTTGCCAACTAACTTGTASTAAAAAAGCCATACTGACTGCCTTGGTCAACCTGAAATCCCTTTTAAAGTACAAAGTCACCTGTCTTGGGTTCAATAATTCTGCTAAATCCTTTAAKTGTCTTCTGAATCCAAATTTTATTTTGCAAATTCAGCCACCCAAAAGGAGACTCACAGATAYTGTGAGAGTGGAACCACAGCCTTCAACTCTTCTGTTTCTACAGAGGTAGAATTTAATCTATAGTTGTACTGCTGACAAATTTCTTCTCAAACAGGTTTTCAAATGTGAAATTTTTTTTTGTTCACAGCTGCAATAACCACAAAGCCTTTTTTTGAATGTCACCAGGGAACAAAGACATAGTGAGTACTTCAAACAGTAACTCCAAGAGCTGCTCCTTGAAGATTTGCAGAGCAGTTCCTTCTGACACACTGAAGCTGCTTCAGTAGGATCCATGGGCAGCAGTTGCAATGAARTTTTTGGAGGCAAAGAAAACAGCAYTGCTTTTSCAGTCAGGTGCCAAACAGGTGATTTATCCCCAGAATTTATGTCCCTAATTGCCAGCTGTCCACCAACAGCACAGAGYTGGCTTTCAGAATGTACCTGGATCTTTCTGAACTTCCAGATCTGGAACTTCATTGCTATGCAGGTAAGCAAAAGAAGTGCAGTTACTTGGATCTCTAAGGCTTTCACAGCCTCTGGGAGGCAGATTTCCTCTGTCATAGGGGCTCTTTCTCATAKGGAATCTTGTTTCATCCTAATTGTTTGATACCTCTGACAGGGGAAACCTGAGAATGTGAAGAAACCTAAGACAAAGCTTCTGCTTAACTCCTGTTTTATCCACTGGTTCTTCTTTTTTTTTTTTTTTTCTTTTTTCCCTTCTTTCTTTTTAATGTAAGTAATTTTGAAAAATTCTGTCTGGTAAACCAATGCTCTCTTGCAACAAAAGCTTGAAGTACAGTTACAGTAATGAACTGAAGAGTTTCTAAATAGTTTTTTACTTTGATCAAAAGTCMATGCAACAGCACTTCTTGCACATCTGCTCCTTCAGACAGGGAAAAAAATGCTACTAATGGTTAAATGGTTTTCCATGTGACAATTTTTTCACCAAATTGTTCTCACAAGCACCGAAGAGTTTTGCATTCAGCTAAGCTATAATCAGCCTCAGCGATGGTTTTTTGACACCATCTTGACTTACAGTACTGCCATGACAATGTAATAGCATTTGATGGTCACCACCTTTTTCTTTAGGAGAAATCTCAGCATTGCATCTGGTTTTGGACACCAAAAGATCAGTAACTACTGTGGGTACCTGGTGGCTTGGGGCTTCAAGGTGGGAAAAGTACTCTCTCCCTGGCAGCTCCAGGAGGATGGAGTCTCAGAAAACAGGAATGCTCTACAGTCTGACAAATGGTACTGCCTGTGGCCCATCAGTGTCTGCAGCTGTCAGATGTGGGGATGCAGTCATAGCAAAGTCTTCTCTCTCTCCTTCACAAATCCTGTTTGAAGCCATCTTGAACCCTGAAGTAGGTGCAAGGAGGATACTACGCAYCCCTTTACCTTTTTCTTCCATTCCTACCCCAGGTGAAACACCACCAGAACTGTAGTTTACACCTAATTCATTAATAATGTACACCTAAGACAGTTTCATTTGGTGCATATCCACAAAGRAAAAAAAGCACAATTTTCCACCAGACAGACATAGATATGGATGTCTGGGGTAGTCAAGAAGCAGAATGTAAGTGTGCAATTACAACAATACAAAGTGAAGTCAAAACAGAGCAGGGGCCTCGACTCTAACATTATTTACGCTGCTGCAATCTTAATATTCTTATGGACTTTAGTTTTTTGTTGATGTTTGGAACACATATTTACTGAACTCCTTGCCACTGTAAAGCAATGAAAAAGTACAGCAGTTTTGACAGTTACTTTGTAATTTACATAGATGCTACAGTGATTTACACCACAACATTCTGACATTACTGGATGGAAACCACTGCAACAGATCCCTGCTGTACGTTGGTATCAGGGTGATGCCTACCTGAAGGTGATAAGCTGTGATGACAGGCTTATTGCCAGCACACCAGACATCCTCCTTCATCTGCCTCATGACCCTGAAGCACTTCATGCGACAGCCACCATCTTCATCAAGTCCCTCCATGAGGATGTGCTCAGCACGGGAGAAGCAGAGCTGCCAGTGATAATTAGAGCGGGCCAGGAGGTCRAAACCCAGCGACTGTGAACAACATGGCAAGGGTGACAGCAGATCAGAGGCAAACTTCTTGCAGCAATGCAGAGAGAGGTTACAAAAGCATGTGTGACATCTCTCAAAGCGCRTTCTAAACAGGGTTAGCAGGGCCAGCAAACAGGAGGCATGCTCCCATTTTAATTCCTAGTTGAATAAACACGCATTTTGTGTTGTTTTCTTGTGTGTTGGTAGCAGTTACTGCCAGGAGATCCTGCTCTAGAGCCATCAGGTTCAGTTCCAGCAGTGCCACTAAAGCAGAGGTGCAGCTCTGCAGGCACTTTGCTGTGGAGCAGTGGGGAGCAGGACTGGAAGGCAAAAAGGGACCTGCAGGAACATGGAAATGAGCTGAGCTGAAGTGCCAGAATYCAGCCATGAGTATGGCAGGGAAAGATGGGACTGAGCTGGAGGGAAAACTGCAAGACAGCAGCCTATTTTCTGAGGGCTTACACGAGGCAGAGCAGAACAGCAAGAATGATGCATGTGTGATGCAGGCAGAACTGTGTGCTAGACACTCACACAATAAAATGTTAACTCAAATTTTTTCTGTAGAACTCACCACGATAAGGGGTGGAAAATCCAAATAAAATCTGACAGAATATTTTGAAAAATTGCTTCTCTAGAGAATACACCTTCCAGCTCTGCTGTTGCCTCCCATCACCATGCAGTTCTTCCTTTGGGAAACCACTGCCAGACGCCTGACAGGTAAATTCCAGCCCATAGTTAAGGSTGTTTTTTACACTGTTTACCTTGATGCACTGCACTTTTTCCTGAGAAGGCCAGCGCTTMAGGCAACGAGGCCAGCGGGCTTTCTCAGGCCAGCAAGTTGGAATCTCCACAGCAGGGACCAGCTCCACCTCAACCTGTGATTCTGATGTCTCCACAGCCACCCGCACCACGGAGCTGAAGCTCTCCAGCACTGTCACTTTACCTGTGAAAGGACAGCAAAAGATAATACAGATAAAAAAGTCCTTTTCMACAAGCCAAGCAAGAGGCTGTCTAGGACCTTGCAGTTCTGTTGGTTCTGTCTTTACATTTTCTCTCCAATGACACATGGAGAATATAAGAAACACCTAAATATTTTTAAGTCTTTATTGGAGAATGAGAACAGGAAGATGAAAGAACAAAGTTCTTAACTTTACACTTAATTATCATGCTTTTTTTTCTTTCATGGGTCCTCTAAAATCCTAGGATCAAGTTCTTAAAAATAAAGCTAGACAAGTGGTTCAACCTAGCATTTCTAATGGTATAGTATAAGGAGGTCACTGCAGGTAGAGAGAACCAGATGAATTATTCYTATTTAAAGATGTTATTCTTTCAGAGAACCTGAGCTCAGACCCTTGCCAGATCACACTTACCACTGCCAGTCATTCAGAATGTTTTGTGGGGTATTTGTAAGTTTTGTTTCTGGAGATGCACTTGCTCAGAAGACAAAGGCAGAATTGATGGTCTATTGTGCAGAGCAGTCACACAAAAAAGGCTAACTGCTACATCACTGCGAGTGCTGAGTGCAAAAAAGARTTAGTTCCAAGGTGATTTGGAGGAAAAAAGTTTCCTCAGTGTGAAGTAAAAGTGGCTCATCTCCAGGAACAACATGATCTATGAGTACAGAAAGGAAAGAAGGTTGCAGTGGGCTTTGTAAGATGTTTCTTGTTCATTCAGTTGTGTTTATGGAAGAAGTTTCTGTCCCAGTCACTCTGGCAGGATCACTGTCCCTTCAGTTCTGCCATTTGAGCCAATTGTGTGTTCATTCTCCAGCCCACTGAAGTAGAAGCCTGAGCAGATGAACATGAGCAGTTTAAGGTGCAGTGTGTTATCCCAGCTMATTTTGATYACCATGGGCTAAGGASMAATCCACGGGGTGAATTACCTTGCRAAATGTAGAGTCCATCCCAACCAGGACTTCGTAAACCTCAGAAAATCTACCTGCTATTTCCCTGCTGAGCCAAGCCTGCCTTCAAAACAGAAACTGCTGCTCCCAAGCTTCCAACAAGGATCCCCAGCAGCTGAAAAGTGTTAGAGCAACCACTATGTCAACATGTAAATACGTTCATGGCGTTTCCAAAAGCATTACAATGCTTATACCTATATTTTCACTAAGGAAATGCGAGACACCTCAAAAATTGATTTTGCTCGTGTTTAAAGAATTAAAAAAAAAACAGGGAAGCAATTAAATCAGTAAAGTTTTCTGTAATTTTAGCCATACTGTGGGATGAAGGCAGTTCATTCTTCACAGAAATAAACAATAATGTAATGGCTTCTCCTGACTTCGCCTTACTCATCTCCCAGGGCACCTTACAAAAAAGGCATCAGAATCATCAACCCAAATATCACTCGCTGGGATCCTTGGACATACCTTTCCTGACTCAATGGTTTGATGTGACTGCTGCTCAACACAATAACTTTCATGTAAGTAAAGCCTCAGAGGCAAGCCCATGCCAGCTGGTCTTTCTTGTGAACCTCAATGCTGAAATTTCAGTCCTATCCACCTTTCTGTTGTTGTAACATTTCCTGAAAAAAATACCACTAGCAGAGCTTGACCTTAACATTTTCTTTCCTGTAACTACAATTCAGAGTGCAATCAGATGAGTGGAAATAGCTTCTATTGCTCTGAAATGCAGAAGACTCATATTAGGCTGCTGCTGAGTAACATCATCCTGGAAACATGCTATGGGAAGAGGCACATGGACACTGTGGGAGGAAAGAGCCTGGACAATGGGGAAAAGAGCACTTGTCCAACATACTTTGCTTCAGTAGAAGTCCTTCTACAYAGTTCCCACCATCACACGCCAGAAAGCTGTTGGCAGCTAAAATTTCCCCTGATCATTATCTGCCATATCATACCTTCAAACATGTTCTCTTCAGACTTGTGCACCTTCCCAGTATCCAATTTTCTTATAGTACCTTCCTTGACAATCTAATTATATTACAGTGAAAGATTTTTTTTCTCAAACAAACTCCTAAATGTTCTAAAAATCTGGACTGCCTCTTGGTTGAGCTGCGATGGTGATGTTGCTGGAGACCCTACCCAAATTCCTAAGAAAGGAGTAACATCTTGGGTATGAAGAGCCCAAGAAATACCGAATTTTATCTTCAGTGCAGGTCTATGTATATCACTGGAATTGCCTGAAGGCTTCCTGATTTTGGAGGGTTTTGCTCATCTTCTGACCATGCAAACCAACACTTTGTGTGTGATGGTTTTCCCTTACACCTGTCCCCACCAAACTCACTGGAGAGGTTACAGGAGACAATCGACTTCTCCACCAGCTCCCGGAAGACGATAAGGACTTTGGCTGGAACCAGATCACCTTCGATGTTCACATCCTTTTCATGCCACTGCTGRAGGCTTTTTGAGAACTGCTCCACCTCCAGCCACTGATGCAATTCCTCGGGGTCCCGCACGGAGGAGAGGAGCTTGGTGCCATTCACGGTGTAATAGCGCCAGTGGCGTACCTGGCATTCCCTGTACCCCGTCAGGCCACGCAGAGGAACTGTGATCAGGAATTGGCTGGGTGCTAACACCTAGGAGAGTTGAGAGAGGTTGAGACAGGAGACAAGGGCAGAGGCAGGAAAAGAGGGTTGAGGAAGTAATAGGTAAAACTGGGGCTTTGAAAAGAAGCAAAAACCATGGTATGATGGGGACCAGTTGAACACAGTCAAGACATATCTAAGGGTTACTTTGGAGTCATGCAGACTAAAAGGAAACTGCCTTAGGAGGAATCTGATGTGAAGCTCTAGAAGACAAGAGCTCACTGGCTGATTTGCCAGCACACCTGCCATGGATTCCCCCTTTTCTGGTTATTTCTAGTCTGCAATTGCATGAGATGTAATAACCAGCAGCTTCCAAGGAGCAGCAAGGTATCACAGAATATATTTTCTCTGATCCCAAATAATGCTAGTTATTATCTCAGAATTATTCCTTGAGATAAACCTACAGTCCAATACTAGTAATAACTATGGCAAAATGTGCACCTTTCTGATCTTTTTCGAAGTCCACTACAGACATCAGCAAAACAAGGCTATGGCCCATTAAATTTTACAAGTTTTTCACTCTGTTTTACTGTCCTTTAAAGGGACTGAGACATCAGGCAAGTGACATGCCTGAGCTTACACAGGTARTGCCACTGTCAGAAATAAGCCCAGGTCTTGCTCAGCTGTAATGTATGGAACTGCATCTTCTGTTGAGCATGACAGAAACAGTGTAAGGATGGAGGCAACAACCTATGGACAAGGAACCCTTAAACAGGCTCATTTGCCAGCCAGTTAATTTGCCTCACTTGGGGAATAACCATTTTCCAATTAAAACCAGCTCTGAGACAATATTTGCAAGGAAAGAATAAGGTGACACAAATACCACAAAATGTCATACTGGCCCAGGGCATAGCCAGACATGTTCAAACTCCTTCAGATCTTTACCATGTTGGCTTAGGAGCTTTTCAAGTCCACTTGCTACCAAGCTTAACTTACACTGGCATAAATAAGGTGAAGCTGCTGCATGAGCAGGATGTGAAGTAACTGTGGCTGCTGTGAGATGTTTACAGCCACARTGAATGAAACACATTTGTCACTCTCTGGTAGGAATCTAAACCACTGTGGCTCAGCTGATTTAAATTATTACCACAGAGGTGCCAGGGCCCTGAAGGCATTAACAGGCTTTAATATCCCTAAGCAGCCTTTCTGGGACTTCTATCAGCCCTGGGCTATGTCAYAGGAGTGCTGCTCTCCAACTGTGTGACAGCTGTGCCTGTGCCTGGCCATAGACCTTGTTGTCCCATCTGCAGAATGCCTTCCCTGCCTGGCCTCAGACCTATTTGGCCACTCTGGACTTGCCTGGAATCAACAGAGCACATCTGACCCTGGTTCCTATTGTTGAGGGTGATTCTGACCCCAGTGAAGGRGGGAGTGGCTTGACCTCAGACCTGACTTATCAGCAGACTTGACTGATGATCCAGATTCTTGGCTGACCCAGCTGCTCTCTCCGTGTCTGTCTCACTCAGGGACTGCTTTGCTACGCTCACCTCCTGTCTCTCTCTCACACAGGGAGCAGCTGGTCTTCTCTGCTCCCTGGCAAGAGATTTGGAATACAAAGGATGGCCAGCAAGAACAGAAATGGCAAAGAAASCACCAGGAAGCTGCTCTTTTGTTGAATATAAACCATGCAGACAGGAGGATGCTGAAAGGATGACAGTGCAGATCAAGCTGACCTGCACACATCAGGTTTGGTGGTGCTGAGAAATCCTGTGGGCAGCTCAGAAACAGAGTACTAGGCTCTGTAAGGAAAAAACACAATAGCTGCCATGCAGTTACTGCTCCTCTCACTGCCTCAGCCACATTTGCAGGTAAACAACCACTCCCTCCCTACCAAAGTGCTGTCYTGTATGCACTGGCACCCAACAGATTGTAAATGGAAGAGCTGCACATGTTTATGTGAATGCCTGTAAATGCAAGTCACAAGGGTCTTCCACCCGGGGGCTCACCCCAAAACAACAGAAATTACAAGGCTTTTACACTGTAAAGCTGGGCAGTTGGTGTCTTCTTGGTCTAACCAAATCCCAGTCCCACAACCATGCTCTGTCACACGATGGTCTTGTGTGCTGTGTGTAGACCATGGGCCCCAGCAAGAGCCTCCACTTCTGCAGTGTGTAAATTATGGCCAATTCTGCTGTATTAAAATACTGTCTAAAGTATGCTGGGCAAATTAAATACAACCTCACTCCTGGGAACCTGGCCAGGCTTTTCCAGAGAGGCAGCAATATTAGGTTAGAAAGAAAATAATTATGCTTTGAGAGAAAAAGCAARTCTCCTGTGCAGAGGACGAAATAGYCATGGAAGGATTTGTTCAGTAGGTGAAGTTGTCTGGAGAAGAAGGTGGGTGAGGAGTAARCAAGCAGAGGGATTGTCAGGCACCAGGAAGATTTTGTACCTGGATGGATGGGTGGAATGGGCGCTTCCTCCGAAGCATAGCTGACCACTTGGCCAGTAAAGCTGGCTGATCCTGAGAGAAGCAGAAAGGAAAACAAGAAGTACATAGAACAGAGAGAAAGTATGTGCTAGGTCACTCATTCACAGAGCAAAGCTGCAAGTTTCCTTGTATGCTTAGAGTTTGTTAAAAGAAAATTCACCCCTTGCCCCCACCTTGATTAAACACTTGGAAATACCACTGGGCAGTGCTGTACCAAGGGTTAGACTGGACCTGGTCATGGTAACTTTACTGAAACCTCCACAGCTCTGGCATCAGCCCTGCATAGTTGACAACWGCAAAAATGGTGAGCCACAGCTAAAACAAACACTTTAAAGTGTTAAAAATTAAATAATCCATTTAATGAATTTGAATTTTAATCCAAATTTTTACTAAAGAGTGACTTTTTGTTGCATGGGTTACAGAAAAACATTGAATACCTGAAGACTTTTCCTAACTRTTRTCCACTCAGCCCTTCATATTTGGARGGGAGCTTGAGGCTTCTCAACAAATCTGAATCTCTCGCCATGTTAAATTGATTCCTTTTAAGCAAAAGCTGAAAGTTCTGCAAAGTCAATGTAGATTTAACTGACAGAGAAAAAAAGATGTTGCAAAATTAAACACAGAATAATGAATACATTGACTTTCCCTCAACACAAGTCTCCTCTATGTTGAATTATGTCAGCAATGATATTAAAGTTCCCAGTTTTTGAAAGGAGACAGCCCAAATCAAAATAACTTCTCATCAACCCATTCTTTGTTGCCCCATACATACAGGACAGTTAGTCAGGTCCTCCTAGTGTTACTTCCACTGATTTATAATGCTGGGTTCAATTAAGCATGAGCAACAAATCTGCCACTTTTAAGGAAATATATTTTGAGAATTTCTTTCAAGAAGAATTTGTTCATATCAGCCTACTACACCACCAAGTTACTGCTCTTAATAGATTGCCTTGGTGGTTTTGTTCTGCTTTGCTTTCCAGAACAATAATTTTACCCTGACCCTGGTCCTGTCAGACTTCATTAGCCAAGCAGGTTCATTCCAGCACAAGAGGTGGCTGGCAGACTCTGCCACCAAGGACCACGTGGACCAGGATGTGGCACTGCTTTACGTCACTGTGGCCATACTTATTGACAAGACCACATGCTCTGGGATACACAAAATTGCAGAAAAGCTATGAGTCTGAATGTCTTTGTTGCCAGGGCAATAGCCACATTTCAGATTGGGTGATTACATTTTGCCTCCACCTCCATACCCTTCCASTGGCTTGATACACAGACTTCTCCCCTTTCAGTCCTAGAGAACTGCAAAAGTTGCCTCAAGCTTTTACATTCTTGCTGTGTTTTGATCTGTAAGTGGCTGTGGTTTAGTATAATGGTTGACATTAAAGTATTTAAAYTAGTTCAGATGAAAAAGATGGTTTTCATCTGAAGTTGCCATTGCTGTGATTGTTTCTTGTGTCTCTACACTAGTTACTTTTGTATTRTGGAGTCATATGAAATAAGGAACCTTCTTCTGGCTGGGACAGAAYATTATTATTTTCATGTTTTAAGGTCTAAAATGGGGAGGCATTTCTCTTCTCCCACTAATAAGGATTTTTTTCCTCAACAAAAAAAATTCCAATCCATGACAAAGAAAAAATATGTTTTTCTGAATGAGCTTTCTAATGTTCATAGCAGAAGGACTTTTGATTTTCCTTTCTTTTTTTAGTGAGTTGACAGCTTTTCCACCTGTGAAAAATATGAGTCATAGCTCATGAAGGCATGAGCATTTTTTCTTATGTTACTGCTGCGAAAAGTTTTTCTTTCTGTCTCCTAAAGAGCTTTGGCTTCTGCTTGCAGATTGACAGCTCTCAACAGATGCTCTTTGTAAACACAGCAGCTGTAAAAAGTCTGCTTGACTTACCCATCTCTCTTCAGTGCTCCTCTGGCTGTGAGATGTCCATGAGTAAGTCCTAATGACCCAGTGTCCCAAACGAGACTACCACACCTACTAGAACTCTCCAGTGAAGTGTCAGCACATCATCTGTGCTGTTTTGGGTGAGGTACCTGCCCAAACCAACATTCACACAACAGAGAAATCACTTATCCATTGCCTACAGGCTGCCACAGAATACATTAGAGCTCATACCTTAATGTTCTCATTGTGAATGCCAGAGTTGGAGATAGCCTGGAACCKCACAGCCTTGTAGCTGATTTCTGCAGTCAGCTGCTGGATGATTTTCTGCACCTCCTCCACTGCTTTGGAAACCAGRTAATGTCGCCGTTCCACCTGCCAGTTCCAGGGAAGACACTTCATGTTACAGGTAATTGCAGTCTTTGTCTCCAGTGGGAAGCAGACAAATCAGCTTAAAGCATCCCAAAACATTTGTGCCTGTGCTGCACTGGGAATAAAAACTACTCCTTGTGTATTGCAACCARTTTACCATGAGACAGAGCTGTGAACATCAAAGGGTCAATATTCAAGACTATTGAGCATTAATTGATATTTCCATGCCAACACCATTAGATGGAAGGAAAAGGGTTCTTTACACGGATAAATTTGTTATCAACTACAGTTACAGTCTCAAGTCTTTATCCATTTGAAGCAGAATACCAGTTACTCCCCTGCATACAGTAATCATTCTGGAAGGCAGGATAGGATATGTTTCACTCCAGGAACTGACTGGACATCAAGAGTTACAGATGTGTTCATTAGTCAGGTTGTAGATGTATGTAGCATCATTTAGACACCTTATACACTGAAAGTATCCATACTTGTCTTTACAGCTGAAGTGCAGACAAGAGTCTACTCCTAGACAGTGAGAAAGCATCTTTCCAAAGCTGGTCCYACTGGGAACTAGGTGTTTGTGTGGCTCAATGGATAGTTCTTCAATTCAATGGACAGTTCTTCAATTCAAGCAGTAGTGCATAACTAATTATTGAAAATTATTTCAGTGAAATGTCTGAGTCTTGGAAGGACTGAGGTGAGGGGTGGACAACTCAGAAAAATGTAAGATGACCCTGAACTTTCACTTAAGACTAAAAATGAAGGGAGCATAATGGGATGGTCACAATCTGAAGAAGGAGTTACAACGGGAGGAAAATGCAGGAACTATGTTAGTAAAGGACATTTAGTATTTCCCAAATATCCTTACACATTTACCAAAGTGAGGAGATTCAGCTACTGTTAATGAAGTTCATTAACATTATTTGTCATTACTTATACAACCAGAATTACTTCTGCAAAGTGAAATATTCTTTACTGTTCTTTTTTGGATCCAATGCTTGATCTGATTTGGTTGCAGATTTGCTTTCTTCWTGATTTTCCTTTTTCCTCACCATATTCTACTAAATCTTATTGTTTGCAGGAAAGAAGAAAAAAAATCAGAAACAGAGATCATCACTTGGCTAAAGTGAATGATAAAGCATAATTGCCACAGTCAAACATAATTRCTACGATCTTTTGTTATTATCAAAGACCAAAAGGAAGCAAAAGCATAAGTTTAAAATTTTGTACTGTGGGGGTGGTGAAGCACTGGCACAGGTTGCCCAGAGAAGCTGTGGATGCCCCATCCCTGGAAGTGTTCAAGGCCAGGCTGGATGGAGCTTTGAGCCCTGCCCTAGTAGAAGATGTCACTGTCCACAGCAGGGAGATTGCAGTAGATGATCTTTAAAGATCCCTTCCAATCCAAGYCAGTCTGTGACAATTCTAAAATTCCTCTCCTCCTGCATCTTCTTCAACATCTAAACAGCCCTCTTTCTCTTTTAAAATATATTATTGACAAGAACTTCTTTAAAAGTCYTTTTAGACACCTTWATGTCAAATGTTGAACTATCAGCCAAACCACTCCAGTGTGTTGGAATGTGTTCCCAGGCTCTGGAAGGGGACAAATAGATTCACTTGTTCACAACAAGGGACCATTCAATGGACTAAAATGGACTAGTGCTTGTCAAAGACTCATTAAGCAATGAACAGCAATTGGCTAACACTGAACTTGATGATGAGCAGAGTTTGAATACCTTCCTCCCTCAGAGGAAGTTAACAAAGTTAAMAGTGCTTTTACTAAGCCTGAATAGCTTTTGGAAGTGGGAAATACATCAGACAGCAGCACCATATTCCCTTCACTGGGCTCTAGTCCACACTTGACATCCTGTTTCTTTGCTATCTTAACACCGAGCAGTCCCTTATGCTTACATAATACCCTTTAATTTCCCCAGTAATTCACCCTCCTCCTCATTCCAATTCATYCTTTGCTCTAAGAACAGTTTTACCTAGCTTACATGTACCTTTTTTTCCAGAAGAATTTACACTGAAAGATTTTAGCCCATATTCATTTTYACCTCCTCATCTCAGCTTTCATTTATGGTGTTTCTCCATCTGTATCTACAGCTATTTTCTCCACCTTATTTTTGTTCATCCTGAACAAGTACTTAGAACAGTCCAACAAGCTTGTCTTCCTGAACAAGACACCTAATGGTTTCTCCAGCAAGTGGATGGTGAGTGGCAGAGAAAGCTGCCCATCTCTAAAAGCTTCTAGACAAAAAAAAAATCTACCTTCTTTTACTGAGAGTATTTCAAGTATACAATCTCACACTGCTTCAGCTCGAAGGGAGACCTAGAGTGCCCTCTGTATGCATAGCTCATGCTATGTTCTCTCTAAGGGGCATCTGCTGGAAACATTTTCTGTCACCTCCACTATCCTGGGACAATCTATCCAAGCCAACGTGGCCTCAATTAATTCTGCCTTCATCACCTACTGGCTAGGCTAAAGCAGTTGCCATGAATTCTTTACTAGAGTACAGACTCAAAAAAACAGTTAGGGAGTACCACTAAACACCACTTTCCAAGTGTAATCCTCATCACTGGAGCARGGAGAAAAGAACAATAGGCATGTGACTGACAGAGGGTGCTCATAATTAGCTAACCATAATTAGCTTCCTAATCATGCTGTTGGAAAATAAAACTTTCTGACAGAGGGGAGGACAAAAAATCAGAAAACTGAACATGCCAAGGCATTTATCTCAGATGCCTTTAGTACCAGGACAGACACACTGTGAGAAGAGACATCATAAGGTCTTTCCTGGACAGTTACTCCCATGACTTATTGGCATTCCCCTTGCCAGGTCTTAACTTGGAGAATTGTGCCAAAACAGATGCACAAAACCTGAACAACAAGGTCAATTAAGATTTTGTTACGGAGGAAGGAAGCAGGATTGGGATTTATTAGGAAATATTAAAAACATTTAGGTTTTCTCTTATTTACCCAGTCACATCCACTGCATATGCATTTGAATTTTTCCTTTGATGAGTGGCTTAAGGATGAAATCTGTGGTATTATAGAGAATCACTGCACCAGGTGGTTG